TAGTTGCCTTAGAAACTGGGCTGTAGTGACGCTCACCTTTAATCCTAGAACAGTCTCATTCTGAGATTCCTGGAGGCAGGATCGCTATTTCAGACTGAGGTAGATGCAAGAGACAGGGACTGGCTGCTTTGCTTTTCTGACCTTCAGGTTGTCTGAATTTGTATTAATTGTGCTTCACCCAACTTAGTATTTTCCACTTTTTACTATTTGTTTCCTAAGACAAGGACTCTAGCCCAGGCTAGAGTCTCTCTATAGTCAAGGAGGACGCTGAACTCCTGAGCCTCTATATTCTGCATCACAGGTGTGTGCTGCAGCCCTCCTATAGTCACAGTTCTGTGCCATCTTCATCCTCAGTGCAGCTTACCTGCATCTTCTTGGCTGCTCCAATTCCTGCCCCACCTGCACTTTTTTTAAAGTTATGTAAATGAGTGCTTTGTCTGCATGTATGGACATGCGCCATATTTGCAGCGCCCTCGCAGCCCTGACAACTGAAGTCACAGATGGCCGTGAGCTCCCAGGAGGGCGCCGGGGATTGAACCTGAGTTCTCTGAAAGACTAGCTAGCTCTCTAACAGTCTCTCCGGCCCCTAAGCTGGTCTACTTTTTAAGGCTTCATGAAGCCTAGTAGACTTGTCAGTCCCTTAAATGCTATATAATAGTGTGTATCTTTATTCAGATCAAAGAGCTGCTTTTGTGTTTGCTGCTTTGCTCATTAAGTTTGGACATTTCTTCTCCAATCCAAGAATTTGTTTTTCTCTAAATACTAGTGTGCTGGTTGATTTCATTGAAAACTTGACATAAACCTAGAATTATCTGTGAAGAGGAACCTCAATTGAGGAAATGCCTCCTTTTGTAAGGCAAGTCTATATGGCATTTTCTTGATTAATGGTTGATGTGGGAGAGCCCAGCTCACTGTGGACAAGGCACTTCTGGGCTGGTGGTCCCAGCTTTAATAAGAAATCAGGCTGAGAAGCCATAGGAGTAAGCCAGTAAGTGGTGTCCTCCACGGCCCTTACTCCAGTTCTGCCTCCAGGCTCCAGCTTCAGCTTTCCTCAGAGGACTGTGACTGAGGATATGTAAGCCAAATGAACCCTTTCCTCCTAAATCACTTTTTGGCTCTTTTGCAGAGCGACATGAACCCTGAAGCAACTGTTCCGCTGTGTCCCAGAAGTTTTGATATTTAACGTTTTGGATGCTGTATTCTAATGCATAGTTCAGTAGGTCTATTTTTGAAGCCTTGGGTTTTTGTATCAAAGATCAGCCTACCTGAGAACCCATGGATGCTCCAATATCTTCTATAAAATGTTCCTGCAGAAATGGATGGAGCTAGAAAACATCATTTTGAGTGAGGTAACCCAGACACAGAAAGACAATTATCACATGTACTCACTCATAGGTGGTTTTTAAACATAAAGCAAAGAAACCAGCCAACAAAACACAATCCCAGAGAACTTAGACAACAATGTAGACACTACGACTTACATAGATAAAATCTACATGGGAAGTAGAAAGTAGAAAAAGACAAGATCTCCTGAGTAAATTGGGAGCATGGGGACCTTGGGGGGAGATTAAAAGAGGGAGGGGAAAGGCAACGAGGGGAGCAGAGAAAAATGTAGAGCTCAATAAATATCAATAAAAATGTACAAAAAACAAAACAAAAAAGATTAAAAATAAAATAGAAATTCCTGTTTTGCTAAAGCAGATATGGTCCCTTATTACCTGGTAAAAGAATAAAAAGTATAGAAGTAAAAAAAAAAAAAAGAATTGTTCCTGTAGATCATGCATGTGGCTTCGAATCTTGTCTAGGTTCTCTGTCACACACACACACACACACACACAAAACAATGCAATGCATAAGTATCCGGGTAGCTTATTATTGTGCTGCAGGGGAACGCTGCAGGGGGAAGGTCCGCGCAGAACCCAGGCACTAACTTCTCCACACATTCCCTACCTACAGCTAGCTCAATCACAGGTGCAGAGCCCAGAAACAGAGGATCAACTGCCACCATCTTTACACCCTCCACACCGCGAGTCTTTCAAACTCCATCACAATCAGAGCCATTTAGAAAATCGCCTTGCAGTTCGCAGCTCTGTGAGGAAATGACTTCATGAACGGCAACGTTTCACTCTCATAGTCCACAAGGACTTGAAAATCACTGCTTCTTTCAGGTGTGTGTGTGCGCGTGTCCATGTGTGTGCACGCAAGTGTGTGAGTGCACATGTGTGTGCACAGCTCTAGAGCTACAGGTGTATGCAGCAAGCCTGGCTTTTTACATGAGTGCTGAGAACAAACAGAGCCTCATACTTGAGTGGAAAGCACTCTTGGCCCCTGAGCAGACCCCTGCCATGGTAGGAACTAACATTCCTCCCATTTGTTTATTATAAAAAGGTGAGAAAATAGAAAGGGGTAACAGGAGAGGCAGAAATGGGGGTGTAGTGTTCTCTAGACTGCTTCCTGTTGTTTGGGGGACCCGAGAAAGCTGGGATGCTGGCCAAGTCCTGGGATAGATAGCTGGCTGTTTCACTTGCTGTCCGGGCTCTGTAAGACCCTCTGGGGCTGGGATCTAGGAAAGTGCAGGCCTCGCTGAAGCAGTCTGGAAGGTTGGACCTTTTTGAAGCTGTCTGGGATGCAGACTTTGTGGAGACTTGGCAAGATGCGGGCAGAGGAGAACATAAAGTTAAGAAGTTTAGAGGAAACTTTTCTCTTAGGTCCCGGTCATCGAGGGAGGGGAGTCCCAAGATCAGGGAGAGGTGAGGAGGTCAGGAACAGGCATAGGTGGGACAGTACTTATCTGGAGTCCATTTGAGCTGTGCTGGGCTTACAACAATTTTCCTGCTTTTGAGTCCTAGGGCACCCAAAATTATTCTGGTTAAAAGCATTAACACTCTTTTCTCTAGCCAGGAAAACGGGCCTACATAGGATGGACAGATGTTTTCAGCACAATGAGAAGCACTTCTAAGTCTCTACTTGAAAAAGAACCAAAGGGCATTTAAAATCGGGAGCGTGCAAGTATGCTAACAGTCACGGGGCTCTGCCAGAGCGGGATTAACAGGTTATCAGAATTCCACCGGCGAACGTTAAGACTATGAACTTTTGGAATCTTAATGAAACAATAACTTAGCAAGGGAAAGAAATCTGAAATATTTCATTCTTTTATATAGCTAACTCACTTTAAAAAAAATCACCATTTAAGCTTCCAAGTCCCCCAGCCTTTATAACTTGCATTTTAAACACAAGAGAATGGAGAAGGCAGCTGAAGTCTTGGTTGTTGCTCTTAAACCGGCAAAGCTATCACTCGCCTGGTCGTTAGATACCGTCAGATCTGAGAGGGATAAATTTCACCCGAGAGAGCAGAAGTTCAGACCAAGCAGATTCTGAATCTATTAAAAATGACAGACTTACTGGCTCCCTAGACAGATGCCCTAGGTTCCTCCATGGCCATTGGGGACAGAGGTCCCAGGGCAGCATCCGTCTTCAGCTGCCAGGCCCAGAAGATCTTCCAGTCGCTCCTGTGGAGTGGGGGGGTGGGGGTAGGAACCAACCAACCTTGTCTAGGCAAAGTGGGGTAATCAACTCCCCAGTGTCTTGCTCTCCCACAGTCTGGGCAGGATCTGAGCAGCAGTTAACGTGAAAGGTAGTCCCCCCACCCCAAGTGACCAGTGTTGCCACATTTAAAGCAAACTCCGGGTGGAGGATCTTCTGTTCCCATCCATCTTCTCTGGAGACGATAGGGGTGATTGCCAGGAGCTGGCATGTCTCTCTATCACAAAAAATAACTTTTTTATAAAATACTTTAAATGCCATGTTCTGCAGATCTTTGAAGCAACTGAGGACCATCTACCTATTTGGTATATCTGAATGGACAAACTTTGCTTTTTTTCTTGTTACTTGGTTTTTTTTAATTTATTTTATTTTTAATTTATTATGTATATAATATTCTGTCTGCATGTATGCCTGCAGGCCAGAAGAGGGCACGAGATCTCATTACAGATGGTTGTGAGCCACCATGTGGTTGCTGGGAATTGAACTCAGGACCTTTGGAAAAGCAGGCAATGCTCTTAACTGCTGAGCCATCTCTCCAGCCCCTTCTAGTTACTTGTTTTAAGCTTAAATTTGAAAACACATGCAGGGGGCTAAGTAAGGCTTATCCCTGTAATTAATTATTTAGTACTAAGCATGACTACAATTAAAGAATTTAATCATCTATGACTATTAACTTGTGTTCTTTAGCAGTCTATAATAAGTTAGCAGCGTTCAGAAGACTAGGACTTTACATTCCATTCTTGTTTAAGGTGACCGCCCATTAGCTTGCATTTCTTAACTATCCTTACCAGTTTACAATAAGTTAGCAGCTTTTATAAGACTAGGACTTTATGTTCTGCCCCTGTTAAGTTTAGCCTTAAAAATAATGATTTTGAATTGAAGCTCTTCTAGTATCAAAATAAAACTTTTTAATCATAGATAATGGGCTCAATAAAAAAATCCAAAATAATCATTCCATGGGTGAAAACAGAACAAGTTTGTTCCAAACTGCTAAGGCTGTTTCCTGAGAAGGCAAGGAAAAGTGACAGGGGAAAGATCCCAGGGCCAAATGGGAACAGGAGAAAAGGGGGCCTGTGAGATGGGTGGGGATATGAGCAGGGACTGAGGGAGCCAAGAGGCCAGCACTGCCCTTAACAGGCCATGGGGGTCCCTGCCCAAATGCCACCCCTGGGAAAAGGACTCTCTGGGGCGGGGGGACCAGGCAATCAGGCATTCCATTATAGAATATATATCTCATTTACCAAATACCTCATTTATCAGACATATGTTGCTACTGATCTAAGTTTTCTAGAAACTTGACGTTGGATACTTAGCAAAGACGTAAGTACTTAGGTGTAAATCTCTAAGTCATCTTTTGTTAATATGAATACATCTTTATAACCTTAAAATTTTATGACCATATAGAGTATATTCCAAACCAGAGTTGAATCATATACAATATGTTGTAACAAATATAACTTATCATTTCTATCATCATACAAAAGTTCATACTAATCCAAAATATTTGAGACTTGCTGTTTTCTTAGTCTTAAAGGAGATACAATGAACAGAGCTCATTAGGACATGATATGTCTGCCAGCCATGTGGCCATCCACATCCTGATGAGGTCACCTGCCAAGATGGAGGAGAGCCATGTGGCTGCTAATGAAAACATGTTTTCTAGACAATAGTTAGGTTATAAGCACATATATGCACAGGTACATACATGCAGTGTTAAATCCAGCTTATAGATATGTACATATACACATACAGAGTCAAAAATCCAAGTCCCCCTCTCTCACACACACATACATACACATTTTAAATAGGAGCTGAAACACACACACACAAACATATATATATGCCCATGTATAGAATTTTAATTATAAGTCTTTTGTTATAAGTTTAAAGCCAAATTTTGTTACAAATTATACAGATTTTAAACCATACCCAATGAGCAATTTACAAATCCTGAGATCAGAATTTACAGTATAATCTTAAGATATTGTTATTTGTGAGAGCAGAGTGCAGAGAAATCGTAGAGATATAAGGTCTTTAGGAGCTGGGAAGTAGAGCTTTAGAGGGAAGGGACTTTGGAAGTGTAGCAAGTTTAGGTATTAGATATTTGGGGATCATTTGTTTATGGCAAATAGAAGTTGTTAACTATTTGTGGTAGTTAATTTTGGAAATCAAATTTGCCAGTTTTGGCCACTGAGACCAGAGTGTTGTAATCAAATCTGAGTCCATGGAGGAAGAGAGAGAGGGTCACAAAGTGGAACACTGTGCAGGTGTGTTCCTCTTAGTTCCTAGAGAAAGTTGAGAGGGAAAACGAGCTGTAAGATTGCAGGCAAAAACAGAGACAGCACAGCGGGTCTGCAGGCTGGCTGCAAGGTGAAAGTCAACACAGAGGGTCTGCAGGCTACAAGGTGAGAGTCAACACAGAGGGTCTGCAGGCTGGCTGCAAGGTGAAAGAACACCAGGAGGAGCGGAAGAGCGGGGAGATGCGCACATGGTCAGCAGGCCACAAGAGCCAGAGCCATGTTGGAGCGTCTTCAAGCTCATGGTTAGCCAACAGTGAAACAGAGCTCTAACAAACAGCTCCCAGTTTCAGTGGCTGACTAGGACACAGGCTTGCTTCTTCTTCTCTTAAATAGCCAGTTGATCAACCCACACCAAGATGATCTTGGTGCCATGCCAAGATGTGCATCAAATGAAGTTCACTGAAGCATTGCTATGATGGTATAATTTTTACAACACCCTAAATGTCAAAAACTCGGAGCTAGTGAAGCAAATTACGGCCCACGAGAGAACATGGTAATAAATACTTTACAACAAAGAGGAGTGATATATTGAAGATCTTTAGTAGCAGTTGGGGAATTTTTTTTCCAATAAAAATGAGGGAGAAAGGCAGACGATGTGATCACATTTTTTGTTTAAAGCAACTGACACACCCATAGAAAGAAGTAGTGGTGAGAGCCACAGTCGTGGCAGGGAAAAGGCACGAGATGAGTGATGGAAAGACCACAGAAGGGGTGCAAGGGGTGGCGGAGGAACGCTGAGACATGCTGTTTCACACAGCACAGAAAAGGGAAGCGTGTTTAAAAAGCCTTTGGAGCAGTGGTAGGAATAAGAAAGGGCCAGCTTCGGCTAGACCCTGTTGAGCAAGAGGTCTGCTGGGTGAAATCACGGTGTGGGCATCTCGCCAGCCCAGCCCTTCTTCCTTTGTTTTCCCCAACAATGAGGTCTCAGGTTACAGCCTGGCAAGCATGGTTGAAGATGGATGACAGAGGAGCGGCACTCACCACCCGGATGGATGTCCAAGAGTTGGCTCAACTTGACTGGATCTTAGGTGTGGGTCATGAGACGGTGCCATAAAACCTCTCAGAGAACTTGGACTTGACGTCCCCCCCCCCCCAGTTTGAAAACCCTGCCAGACCTTGGTTGCTCAGGAACATGATGTGCCGAGGGAGGGTGTTGGCCTCCAGACAAACAGGACATTTTCTAAATGATCAGGGCCTGTTCCAGGAAAAGGCCTGGAGAGGGGAGGTGCGGTAGATTGTGACGTTTTCAGAAGTGGCCATCAGGTTGATCAAAGCGCTCTCCGTCTCAGTCACAGAGACAAGCTCCAGAGATTTTACCATTTCCTGTCTGGGGAAGCCCCTACAGTTACAAGGCTCTTTCTTCACCTTTGTGGGGTTTCCAGAGCCACCAAAGGGAGCATCTCCATCTCTGAACACCCTGTGCTGGAACACTCCCACAGAGATGTTGAAAGCCTAGTTAAGAGACCACAAAAGCCTTCAGGAGCCTCTTACAGGGATTCTACCTTTGCTGAGGGGCTCTGACTTCACTGAGTATACAGAGTAGTGGAAGAGCAAATAAATCAGCCACCAAGAGCACTTGCTGGTCTGGCAAAGGACCTGAGTTCAGTTCTTAGGATCTACAGTGGTTCAAAATTGCCTATAACTCAACTCCAGAAGGGTACCGGACATCCTCTTCTGGCCTCTGCAGGCACTGCCCTCGTGTACACACAAGTCCATACACAGACATATACATTTATACATGTATAGAATTAAATAACTCTTTTAAAGGGGAAAACAAAGGAATCTTGAGCATATTAAGACAAGGAGGACATCTGAGAGAGAAGGACAAAGAAAGGTAACAGGAAGAAGCAGCAGTTGGAAGCCTGTCAGGTTAGGCTCCTCGTACATCAGTCATTTCCCACTTGTTGATCACGTGATAAATCTCTATCCAGCCACACTGGATGGACTATGTGGGTGCCTGGCAACAGCATGCATCCAGTAGTAATAAAGGCTGCCACCCAATAGGGGACAGATTTACAAACTACAGTGATAAGGCTGGGGGACCTGGGCAGAACAGTGACCTTAAGCTAAGCCCTCAAGGACAAGAAATTCTGTGCCGTTCAACCAGGAATATAGTTTGAAAACCATCTGTACCTAGCTGCTTCTGGTTGTGAAGCAGTTCCTGGGTAAAGGGGGGGGGTGATAATGAAACACCCCGAATGAGCTGCCCCACGCTATATGGTGATGCAGGGTGCTGCCTCCAGAGACATTGCTCATCTCAGGAGTTCCCAGTTCTCTGACAACAGAGATGCTGGAGGAAGCTTTCTGTCTCCGTTTATCAGATTATCCTTCATCAAGCAGTAGGCTTCCTGGTCTAGTCACATCATCAATTTAGTACTTGCAGAAACAGATGCCAAGACAAGGTTTGAAATGCAAAAGATCCCAAGGACCACTTGGGATGAGAGGAGAGGAGACAAGGTCCCCAGAGCAGGAAGGCTTCCCACCCAGATCTAGGCAGAGATGGAGAGAGCAAAGATTAAATATAAGCGCCTCTTCAGATACAACAAGGAAAAAAGTCCTCATAGCTCCATAGCCTGGTGCAAAGACACATCTGGGCAGGGATGACCAGACTCCACTGTCAGTGGCCCCCATATGAAAAGGATGCAGCCTCAGCCTGATTGCTGCAGAGAAACCTGACTCCCAGCTGCACTCTTCACAGCTGGCCAGCTTGCCCAGCAAACAGCGGAGCATGGTGACTCTGTGGCTGCCGCACAGGGCCCAATCACAGGGCCCACCTTGTTTATTTGCCATCAAAGTGGAAACTGATGTTGCTTGCAAAATTTGGAGAAGGAACTGGTTCAGGAAGGTCATTGTAATAAGAACTTCATCTGCGGTCCCTATGGAGACAGATTCTAGGGGTGCTTGGCAGCTTGGCAGACATCAAGGATGAGGGAGACTAAGGCTCTATACCAGACTATAATTGTTCTGATGCTTGGGAGAGAGAGGAGCCCCTCCCACCAGAGCTAAAGGCCTGCTCATGGTACTGCATCCAAGAGACCACCCCTGTCTGAACAGGAGGCAGGCGTGCAGGATGTGGGCGTCCTCCCTGGAATGCAGCCTGCTGAGAGTGTTGGTGTCCTGTGACCCTCTCGACGAACCTCATAGGACATGAGACCCAAGGAACCCGCTGTTCTTTGTTTCTGAGCCAGGAATCTCACTTTCTGCCAAGAGAGTATCTTTTAGCCTATTTACAAATGATGTATTAGCCTGTACCCAGGAAACCACTAAAAGTTTCTCTAGCTTGCAATCAGAGTAAGAATCTTAGCTCCCATCAAATCAGAATTCTTGGAAGGGTGAACCCTACATGAAGTCAGGCTTCCATAATTACAGGTCGGCAGGTCCAGCTGACTGTAGATCAAAAATAGGTACCGATAGTTACATCTCTACTGAACAGGCACAGAACTTCCAGAACTATGCCCTAGGTATGTCGGGTAGTAACGACTATTTGCATAGAATTTACAGTGTTATTGGACATCATAAGCAATTAAGAGATGATTTTAAGCCTATGAAAAAGGTAGTATAACAGGAGTGTCCTTAGAGAGGCTGAGCTCTAAGAAAGGGGGGGTCACCAGGCAGGATCTCTCCCTACTTTGGGGTTATTGTCAAGTCCCATTTCTTGAGCCATACTGAGAGAGATGAGGAGGTCTGGAACACAGTGGCCACCTCAACAACCTGACTGTAAATCACCAATATTTGTTTCAAATGGCAATAGTGAAAGGCAGTCTTGGGACCTCATTTCTGGAGTTATTTATAGGTTTCATGTGACAGCTTAATGGACCAGATCACATTTTAATGCGGCAAAGCTCTTGGTCATAGGAGAGTCTGTCAAGAGGCCAATGTTTCCCTGAAGGAATGGTGTTTCCATGAAGCAGACAAGCACAGGTGGCCCTTGACAAACACTTTATCAGAGCTCTGCTTCCTGGACACTGGAGAAGCAAGGCACACAGCCGCACTAGCACACTTCGATCAGCTGACCCATGGCTCAGACTCGGCATCCCTGGTCCAGTCTTTTCTCTTTTAAGCCCCACCATCTTCCACATCGCTTTTCTCTGCTGACGCAGAGTGGTGGTCCGATCTCTCCACCCAAAAACACCATGCAGAATACCTGGGTGGAACGGCAAGGCTGATCTCACACGTGGCTTTTAGAAAGTGGTGAGGTGAGCTGGCAGACGGCACCTCTGGTGAAGTGCTCGTGTGAATCCAATCCTCTGAAATATCCAGGCTTGGTGGTGCACACTTGCGATCTCAGGGTTGGCGAGGGCAGAGGCAGAGAGGGACAAAGGGGCAGAGATGGGCAGAGAGAGGTAGAAAGGGGCAGTGAGGGGCAGAGAGAGGCAAAAAGGGTCAGAGAGACAGGCAGATCCCTACAGCTCATTGGCTATTCAACGTACCTGCTTGCAGAGTTTCAGACCAGAGAGATCCTATGTCAAAAAAACAAAACTAAACCAAAACAGAAAAATTCTCTAGGTGTTCAATGCCGGAGAACCACCATCACAGGTTCCTCTGGCCTCCATCTGCATGCACACATATGTACATGTGCACCCTACTACACATGAGCATGCACACATCTGTGTACACACACAATGTGAGCCAAGTATCCCATCTCAAAGTCCCCATCAGAAGAGGCCAAGCCCATCTTCTTGCTCTCTATACACCAGCTACTCCCTGCTGCTCCCCTGGGGAGGGGCTGCTCCACAGCCATCCTGAAGTCTGCGGCACATTTCCCTGAGTGGTCTGTTCCTCGATGTGGGGCCAGAGCAAGGTCAATTTAGGGTCTACACAAAAGCCTTTCTTTCTCCTGTGAAGAGGGCAGGCAAGAGGACCTTCACAGGATGACTGGACTCTTAGCAACAAAGACTACAAGATTAGAAAAGAAAGAGCCACAATATTGTTCTTCATGATCTCATTTTAAATGGCACCTCTACCGCTTTTCTGTTGATTTCTATTTGTAACTGATGACAGACTTATGTGCTTTTGATTGTGTTTCTCCAACATCATCATCTTGACAGAATACTTTCCCAGCAAAGACAAGACCCTGACATGGTCCTCTGCTGCTCACATAGAGTGTGATGCTCTAGGTGGCTCACACAGGAACCTTGGTATATCCATCTCACCAGAAGCCAAGAGTCTGAACATTTCAAACCCCTAGCGTGTCCCTTTTCCTTTCATAACCACATGAGCCATTCTTGCTCCAAGGGAGAGTGAGGCTGTTTCTCATAAAACAAAACATGTATCACCATGTGGTCCATGCATGGGTTCACTGAGCATTCACTGGAGAGCTAAAAACCCACATGCAGACAAAGCTTTGCACGTGAGTGCTCACAGCAGCTCCTAATAGTAATAGTAGAAGGCTTGAAGCCATGTCCTTCCATGTTTGCACAGTTCAGCAAATGATGACCTTTGAGTCCATGACATTCTAGCTAGACAGAAGGAGTAGCTAGTGTATCAAACAGCTTGGGTGAGTCTGGAAGGATTCCTTCTGAGCCAAGGAGATGCCCAAGAATTTGCATAATGTCTGTTCTGGTTCTGTATCACTCTTAACAGGTCATGAGCTGCCCAACTTCTTAGCAGTACCCAGGGGCCAGTTGTGTATTTCAAGCAGCTGACTCCCTTTTCCCAAGATCAACAATGATGCCATGAGGGTGGTAGAGAAGAGACGTGGGTTTTGGCAGTACATGTTCTCTGGCAGTGTGAGCACCACTGGAGTTGGAATTCTGCTAAGAGACTGTGATGTTTCACCTTTCCACTCACGGCATTTGTTAGCTGGCAAGATTCCAGATCAAAGTTCTACATTAAAATGTCTAAAAAACCATCTGTAAAGCACAGGTGCTATGCACAGCAAACCCTTCACAAAGGGCCTTGGCAGCACATGACTCCATGAGCATGTGGGTGTGTAGTCAGCTCTCCTGAAGGCTGGGAAGGTATAACAGAGAGGAGGACCACAAGGAGAGCAGGGGTCCCTTACACTCTAATATGACAGGGACCTCCAACACATGAAGCTCCCGAAAGTCTTCAAAGGATGTTGACAGAATGTGCTGGAGTTGGACAAGGTCCAATGGATGATAAAATACCCTCTGATACAAGGGAAACAGGTTAGGAAGCAAAGAACTGAACCAAGACTTACTGTGTCCTCAATACAGACCAGTTCATGGAGTATCAGTTGCCCAGGTAACAAGAGAGCTGTCATTCAGGAAATATTCTTCTTAGGACAGATAGGAAATGATATCTCTGTTCTTCTGAGCAAAAGCAGTTTTTAGCTCCCTAAGAAAACAGTGGTCTCAACTCATCCAGTGAAGAAAAATTCTCAGCTCTTATAGGTAGCCATTATCAAAAGCTCTCAGCAAAAATGGTCTCAATACAGCTCAGGTGAGTCCCAGATCACATGGATAAGAGGGCTGTCCCTCAGGTAACTATGCCACAGATCCCTGGCTTTGTCATCTGTCTCAGGCACCTACAAAACAATTGTCTCTGATGTCCTAGATTACAGTGCCCTCAAATCCCCAGGTGACGGTGGTCTCAGACTCCTCAGGAAACAATGCTTTCAGATGGCAAGGTAACAATGGCCTCGTGCTGCCCAGGTTAAAGTGTTGTCGAATGTGATGTCTCAGAATCCCAGGTTACAATGCTCTCTCTCAGATCCCTCATTGTTTCCTGTGGTCTGCACAAGCTACAGTGCTGTCAGATCACAGGAAACAATGGTCTCATTTCCACAGGTTACAATGTTCGCAGATCCCTCAGTAGCAACTCATATTTCCCACAGGTAACAATGCTGTCAGAACCCACCAGTAACAATGGTCTTGATACCCCAGGCATATGTATATATCATAGGTTATTATGTTCTCAGATCCCCCAACTACTGATGTTCTCATATGGCCTAAGTAACAACGGTCTTATTCCTCAATTTACATTGCTCTCAGAAGCCCAGGAAACAACAATCTCAATCTCCCAAGTTTCCATGTTCTCAGATCCCCTGACTGACGATGCACTCAGATCTTCTTGGTGACCATGCTCTCAGATGCTCTGCTAAGAATAGTCTTGACCCCAGCTAACAGTGGTCTTGATTTTCCAGGTTCCAATGTTCTCAGATCATCAAGGTAACAAGGCTTTCAGATGCTACCGAAAATAATGGTCTTAAGCCCCTAGAAACACTGATCTCAGATCTCCCGGGCAGAAATGACTTTGATCCCCAAGTAACAACTGTCTTGATTTTCCAGGTAGAGTATTCTCAGATCCCTCAGGTAACACTGTTCTCATATGTTCCACTTAACAAAGATATTGATTCTCCGGGTTGTAACATTTTCAAATCTATCAGGTGACAAAGTTCCCAAATGACATCAGAAAACAGTGGGCTTGATCCCCCAGGTTAGTGTTTAGAAATCCCCCAGGTTAGTGTTTAGAAATCCCAGGTTAGCAATGCTCAGCTGCCCCAGGTAACAATGTTCTCAGATCAGTCAGTTAAGATGGTCTTCTAAGATCAGACAAGTAGCAATGGTATTGATCCTCAAGTGAACAATGCTCTCAGTTCAGGCAGATAACTTGTCTAGATTACCCAAGGTTACAAAGTTCTTAGTTCAGCCAACTAACAATAGTCTTAATTCCCAAAGGTTACAATGTACTCAAATAAACCAAAAAAAAAATACTCTTTAACCCCATGAGTTACAATGTTCTCAGATAAGTCAGGTAAAAAAGGTTTTGATAAACCCAGGATACAATGTTTTCAAACAAGACAGGTAACAATGGTCTTGACCCCCAAAGGTTAAGCTGTTTTCAAATCAGGAAATGATGGTCTTGATCTGCCCCCAAGGTGACAATGTTTTTAGATCAGCAAGGTAACAACAATGCTCTTTATCAATGGTCTCATATTAGTTGGTAATAAAAGTCTTGATTCTCCAAGATTACAATGTTCTCAGAGCAGCCAAGAGACAATGGTCTTGATCCTCACAGATTACAAAGTTCTCAGGTCAATCAGGTGACAATGTTCTTTATCCCCGAAGATACAATGTTTTCAGATGAGCCGGTAGAAATGGTTTTGATTCCCTCAGTTACAAGGTTCTCAGATCAGTAAGCTAATATTGGTCTTGATCCTCCAAAGTTACAATGCTCTAATATCAGTTAGGTAACAATGGTCTTTATCCCCACAAGTTACAATGTCCTCAGATAAGCCAAGTAACATTGACTGAGATTCCCCAAAGTTATATTATCGCTAGGTCTGTCAGCTAACAATTGTCTTTATGCCCAAAGGTTACGATATTCTAAGATCAGCCAGGAAGTAATTGTCTTGGTTTCCACAGGTAACAATGTATTCAGATCTGTCAGCTAAGAAAAATGTTCTTGAACCCCCACCCTACATAGGCCCGCACAAGTTACAAAGTCCTTAATTCACCCAGGTAACAATATTCTTTATCCCACAAATTACAAGTTCTCAGATTAGCCAGGTAACAATGGTCTTTATATTCTCAGATCACAGTGTTTTCAGATTAGTAACAATGATTTTGATCCCTTCCAAGTAACAATGTTTTCAAATAGGGAACAATGGTTTTGATCTCTGGAGGTAGCAAGGTTCTCAGATCAGTTGGATAACAATGGTCTTTATCCACCCAAGTTACAAAGTTCTCATATAAAGTATCAATAATGTTGATCCCTCAAGATTACAATATTTTCAGAGGAGACAAGTAACAGTGGTCTTTATCCCCCAAGGTTACAATGTACTCATATCAATCAGGTAACAATGTTCATTCCTACAAGGTTACTATAGTCTTAGATCACAGAGATAACAATGGTCTAGATTCTCTCAGGTCACAATGCTTTCTGATCAGTGAGGAAACAGTATTCTTGATCCCCCAAGGTTACAGTATTCTCAGATGACTCATGTAATAATGGTCTGTAGCCCCCCAGCTGACAATGTTTTCTATCAGTAAGTTAATAGTGGTCTTTATAACCCCTAGTTACAATGTTCTCAGACCAATCAGGTAACAGTGGTCTTTATCCCACAGGGATACAATGTTTTTAGATCAGTATAGTAACAAAAGTCTTGATCCTCCAAGTTTATGATGTTCTCAGATCATCCAGGAGTACAATGTTCTCTCCCCAGATTACAAAGTTCTCAGATCAGTAGGGTTGACAATTGTCTTAATTCCTCCTAGGTTACAATGATTTCAAATCAGGTAATAATGGTTATGATTCCCTCCATGTTGCAAGGTTTTCAAGTAACAATGTCTGTGATCCCCTAAGGTTCCAGTGTTCCCAGATCAGTAAGGTCTTGATTCCACAAGTCACAATGTTCTCAGATCAGTAAAGTAGCAATGGTCTTGATTCCCTCTAGGTCACAATGTTTTCAAACAGGGTAACAATGCCTTTGATTCATCATTGTTACAATGTTCACAGATCAGGCAAGTAACAATAGTCTTTATGCCTCAATCTTACAATTTTCTCATCT